TCGGGTCCTTGAGCTTACAAGGCAGGCAGCAGAACCACTGAGCTAAATCCCTGGCCCATCCATTTGTATTTACTTACACAATGACTAAATCAAGAAACCTATAAAGTACATCAGTGACATGCAGAAGCTTCATCATTATATACTCGAAGTATTCCATAGATGTAATCATAAAAACCATTTAGTGTGGACATGACCAATGCAGGACATACGCAGGTACAGAAATGTCACAGTGACCCCTATTAATGTGTGCAATTAATATTTGTTCAATGTTACAATTTTAAAGTAAATAGGTTTAGAACCAAAATACAATAATAATAAAAATGAAAAACCTAAAAGTCATCCAACAGAACTCTACTGAAATGGTATGCTTACATATAAACCATTCACTACCACGTCATTTAGCTGTATGGAAACTAAAACTCACCAGTTGTATGGGTTATTTTCTGCACTGTCTTCAAAATTGATAAAACCTAAAATTTGTTCAATTCTAGCATTGTTAACACAGCTCTGTCTCTATGAGTGGTTCCCCCACCCCTGGAGAAATTTTTTTTTTTGCACCAGGAAACAAACTCAGGTCCTTCAGCCTGCGAGGCAGGCAGTAGCACCACTAAGCTAAAGCCCCAGCCTACCCCCAGAGAAATGATAAAGAAGCCAAGAACTGATTTCAGTGGCCTCTATCATTCAAATCCCAACAACTCATTCTCAACAAAACACATTACTGTAACATTTTTTATGTGTGCCTTTCCGCTGCCTGATGAGACAGTTTCAAATCATGCAGTTCTTTTTGGGGCCTCAAATTTATACAGTTCATGTGAAATTTATGTCAAGCAATCCAAAAATTTCCAATCTTTCAACAATACCTGAGGTTCCCTGTGGCCCAACACTCAACTAATCTCTGGCAGACATATTATCTCTACCCTTGGGAAGCCTAAACTTGAGAGAGGAGAACAAATTTTAAGGATAAATTAACATAAACAAATGACTAATGACAGAGAATGCTCATCCTATGAGGGACAAGAAAGGGAAAGGAAAGGGGCCTCTCCCTTCCACTGAAGCCTCTCCAGGAACAAGAGGTATGTGCCAGAACATGTGATGGTCCTGAGTGGGGAGAAAGTGACCCACTGACAGGACTGACTAGATGACAATTAAGAGTAGGAACCCTCAACAGTGTCCCTATGTATGAGTAGGAGGGGCCCTATCTTTCTGGGCCAAAGAGGCTTCTTTCTATCCATGTTTTTCACCATTTCTACTGTTTGGTTGAAAGCTGATTATTTTTACCTGTAAAATGGATTTTTATCTTACTGTGCAAATTATTAAATTATTATGACCACAGATAAGTCACAGTTTAAGATGTGCACAGGGATATGTGTTAAGTGCCTGTGAACGTCACCCACCCCTTGCTTTCTACTACAACTCTGTGAGAAACAGACCGTCATCACCATTTTGTATTCCAAGAAACAGAAGTTTCCCAGAAGGTCTATTATAACTACTATGGGCTAATGAGGGTTTACATGCAGGTAAGACACAATCCTGACCTCAAATAGTACCAGAAGAGAGAAAATGAATTAAAAAGTAACTACAGGATTAAAATAAATCTCAAAACTGAGTCTAAAAAAATGTTACAAAATGTCAGAGGTAGAAAGTTACTTTCAGCAGGGGAGAGAAAAGTCTGGCCAGTGTTCCTGATGATTGTAGCACCTCACCTGAGAGCCTGAATTACCAAGAGGAGGGCAGGCAATGCGAGCAGAGAAAGGCAGATGAGAACACAGACATGCAAGGGCCCCTCAGCAAGAAAGCAGCTGTATTGCTCTGGGGCTCAGAGAAACAAAGCAGTGCTCCACAGCTTGGCCTCTGAAGCCAGCCTCAGGGTTCAAACCTGCCCCATCTCATATCCTGTGAATCAGGACATGCTGCACAACCTCCTGATCTGAAGTTAATTCAGCTATCAAATGAGAACATGAGCACCTAACTCATGAGTTTTTCATCAGGATTAAATTAAAATCTGGGTGCCGAATACAGTGTTTATCACTACATGTAGTATATAGTCAATAACTGATCATTGTTGTTGGATGTAAGGACAGAAAAAGAGGCAAAAATAACTAAGAGTTTTGCAGATACTGTTAATAAGAGACATGTGCAGGAGAAAAATGAGCCTGGGGAGCAGAGATCAATATATAGTTTGGTATCACAGAAGTTGAGTCTACAGCTGCATGGAGTACTACTAGCACTCAACATGGCATAAATTACCTCCATGGTATCTTCCTCATTAGAACTAGATGTTGAGGGGAAAGTGGAGAGATGGTCCAGAGTAAAGTAGTAACTCAATGTTAGATCACAAACAGAGCTATAAATATCTCTATAGGAAGAGGAAGAAATATTCTCCATATTTTCTATGGAGAAAGAGATAAAAAAAAAACCAAAGTAGTAAGAAGAAACTAAACAAAGTATTATAAAACCTCTTTAAGAGGGATGTAAATTTCAAGGCTTGATGCATGCATCATGTTGTATTTGAGTGTGCATTCATTTATTGAGCAAGATAGGTTTTATTTTTAATAGAAGATATGAAGAAACCATAACTTTCAAAATCAAACAAGTATTTACTGAAAATTTATCTATTATAACACTCCTCAGTGTTTTCCCTTATGAATCACCATAGATGGTAACACAACCCCACCACCCAAATGACGGGAAGTGTAAAGGATACAAGCTAAGAGGAAGGAACAGCAGTACAGAAGTGTCTGCTCATGCATGCCTAGAAAGGGGAAACAGGGCTCCAGACACTCAGCAGCTACAAAGGCTACTGGGTCTGAGCAGGGAAGATACCTGGAGGGGTAGAGGCTGCCCAGAGAGAAGAAACAAAGCCATGATGGGTGGGGGTCAATGGAAAGGACAGGCACAAGTCTATGCAGCACAAGCTATGAAAGCCTATAGTGGGCAAGTAGCTCAGACTTGCGTCTGCAGGCAAGGAAGATCCAAGAAAGCAATTAAATGACAAATTCCCTAGGTACAACTAAGAACTTATTTTCATATTATTAAATATCTACCAAAATAAAGACCAAAGAAATTTAGGAATAGTCATTAGAATTAGTACTAGTTGAAATCATTTTCAAATAAATAGTATTTCTGAGATAAAAGGCAAAGTATAATTCAATGAATGAAGATATACACATTTTTCAGGAACACACCTGCTCTATAAATCAAAGCATATATGTGGTAAATTATTATTTGACATAAGGCAATGAATATCTAAAATACCTGTAAATGAGAGCAAATTTTACCATAAAATTTGCTAGACAAAGGTTCATCCAAGTACCTACAGTATTTTAAAAGCAAAAATATTTGGTTTCCAAAGATCCAAGGGACTTATTAAAAAGTAGTAACAATTTGTTGAGTGATAAACCTATAAAAATATTCTTATTTCTAAATGTTAGCTCACATCTAAGAGATGTTCAAATGTAAACACATGTTTTTAATCAATAAAATAATTTATAATGAAATACTTACTGTTGGCTTCACTAGCAACTGACCCATGACTGTGAACATGCGGGAGAGGCCCACTGGTGTACACACTGCAGGAATGAGAGCAGACTGGACCTCAGAGCTCAGACAGAGAAACTATGAGCCCACAGAGAAATACGGTAGCCCAAGCATCACAGTCTTAAGTACATTCAGTCTCCCAGTGAGAGGCTCCCAGGACTTTGTCAGAGGGTTCTTCAGCTTTATCAACAGGGAAGCTAGAGGGGCAGTGTGAGGAGGCATTACCACATTTAACAAAAGATATGTGCAGATGAAAGAAGGCTTAAAGTAGTCAAGATTCTAGCAGCTGAGAAACAATAAATATTTTGGCTTTAAAGAAAAAGAATACACTGCACTAAACTGAAAATCAGAATAGACATATATAGTCTTATGTCTTTGGAACTGTGTTTCACAGCTTACAACATCCCTGAGACAGGATGCAATGCCTCAAGCAGGACAAAGCAAGTTTTCAAATAAAGCCACATAATCATCATATAGAAGTCAATCACTTCCACTTAAATGCAGACTCAAGTGTTGTGATGGAAGCAGGGTGGGATGTAGGTAGGGCATGTGTGTATGGGTATGTGTGTTTAGTGTGTGTATGTGTATGAGCATGAGGGAATTCCTTCCCCAAACCAGTGGTAAAGACTTTCTTTGGAAAAAACAAAAACCCCTTATTATTTCAAGGCTTCAATTTATCAAAATTTATCTTGAACAAAAAAAACTCTAGAGCCAAATCAAAACAATCTCCAAGTTGTTAAGGAAGGAATCTCACCAGGAAACTTTCCCATAATTTTCCAGAATACAGCACAATTCTACTTTTCTAACAATATTAAGTCAGAAAAAATACTTACAGAGAAGTAACAAACATCCCATCAATGATATACAGGAATATAAATAGGGTAGGTAGAACTCCCAAAGATCTATAAAAATATAAATACATTTTAATAACTTCAAAATACTGCACATTAAATGTATAATGAATGCTATAACTGTATATTTTGAGTGTATTAAACCATATAATTTAAATTATACAATAAAAAGATCTAAAATGTGAAAACAGAAAATAAACCTTTTGCAAAGCCTGTTTAGAAGCAGGAAAAAACCTCCACAGAATTTTTGAAGCAGAAACCAATTAAAAAAATATATATGATAGGGCCAGGGATTTAGCTCAGCAGTTCTGCCACCTGCCTTGCAAGCACAAGGACCTGAGTTCAATCCC